AATTAACTATAGGGGCTTGCCCTTATAGGAAGCTTTTCTCGAACCCAGCATAATATAAACCCTATTTAATTTCTTATATTAAATAGGGGAACTTGTCGGCCAATACATTGGTTTCGCAGACCAAACGGATGTCATAACTTTCTTTAGTTTACTTGATCGAGCCTCACTCTCAATTCTTGCGTTCATCCTTCGGGATAGATACTTGATTTGAGATAAACTGCTCTTTCATCTAAACTATGAAAATTATGGGGTCAGTTTGACTTCATCTTTTTCAAAACTAAATTTTTTTAAAAAACGTCCTTCCGAAGCGGGCAACGGGATTTCAATTCCGATGACCGACAACTTCTTACGGGCAAACCCCACACAAAAAATAGTGCCGACAGTTATTTCTGGGTTATTTCGGGATTATTGAAAATAACCCAGGAATAATCTAAAAATAACTCAGGAATACCCTGCGCCGCACTTAGAGCTACGTCAGGAGTTCGCACAGAAAAAAAATTTTTGTTTGCAACATGCATAATTTCAAAATTATGTTGGATGTAATAAGTAGAACTTTTTTTTTTTGTTTTAAAATAAGGGTCATTAAATGTGGACCCCCAACATGCAGGGTGACACGTTAGATCTCTTGGGTTCTTAGCACAATCATACTCGTGTCAATTTAGATGCTTTAACCCACATTGCTCGTCGGGATCGACCCGACAAGCAATGCTGGTTAAGGCATCGCAACCAATATGGAGTCACTCGCCCATCAAGCCTACCTCGCTATCATGCATGCATGCATATTTAAATGCAAACAATCATATCCTAAAAGTGGTGAGGAATGTGTCGTGGAGGCAGTGACTCATAAACGAGTGTGTCGTGGAGGCAGTGATTCATAAGCGAGGGTGTGTTGTGGAGGTACTGATCCGGTGGAGAGGGTGTGTTGTAGAGGCAGCAGCTCAAAGGAGTGGGTGTTTAGTGGAGGCAGGATCCGGTGGAGTGGGTGTGTTGTAGAGGTAGTGAACCAAAGGAATGGGTGTTTAGTGGAGGCAGCGACCCGGAAGGGTGGGCGTGTCATGGAGGTAGTGGCTCGAAGATGGGTGTGTCATGGAGACATTGACCTGAAAATGTGAAGGTGACGTAGAGTTAGTGACCCGAAGGTGGGTGTGTCGTGAAGACAGTGTCCCAAAAGCGTGGATGTGTCATGAAGGTAGTGGTACGAAAGATGGGTATACCATGGAGGTAGTGACCCAAAAAGATGAGCATGTCGTAGAGACAGTGACCAAAAAGATGGGTATACCATGGAGGCAGTGACCCAGAAAAGCAGGCATGTCGTGAAGGTAGTGTGTCGTGGAGACAGTGACTCGAAAGTTTGATTATGCACGGAGTGCAGTGACTCGAAAGGGTGGGTATGCCGTAGAGAGACTGACTTGAAGGGAGAGCTACAACAGTCTGATGCGGTGTCATAAGAAAAGAAGGTGAGGTGATTCTCACTGGGGAGAATTACACACCAGGTAGGTTTTGATGTGCAAAGTTGTCCGGTTACATGATATGTGAATATGTGGGATAAGCGCATGAGGACAAAAATCCAAATGCACACAACTTTAAGCATACAATACAAAGTTGAGAGTAGAGATCATCCAAAGTGATGGGTTGGAATGTAGTTCTAATGCAGTTTTGAATGCATTGTAGGAATGAGGTAGGCCATTAAGAGTATATAGAATCACATTTGTTGATCGAAGTGTGATCCGACAGTTGTTATTTGATCCACCAATGTACGTATTTCAGTAAGTTTTGTGCTCTATTGTGATCCTTTATGGATATGCTATGTAATTCATTCTTCATTTGAGCCACACGAGATCTGTTCGTGGGTTGCAACCGTCTTTCTATGGTCATCCAAATGGTAGCACTGGTAGATGTATTCTAGGAGGGAGAACAGTGGGAGAGATAGTTACAGTGAGGCTATCAGATTTTGGTCAATGAGTTTCTACATATGAGGTAGTTTGGGGGCTGCACTGTCCTATCTACTAAATTTTGGGGGCATGGACTGCTTCCATCCAGAAAACCAATGAATCTATTTGTCGTGAATATAAGTATTTGAGCGTGCCAAACATTATAGTTATCAACAGTTAATTGGTTTTAAGCAATTTGTTTTAGGTGAGATCAGAAATTTGAGGGAAGGAGGTTTGTCAGTAGAAGGTACAGATAGAAAGGAGGATTGGGGTTTCGAGATTACTGATTCATTCATTGCAGGGGAGGAGGGACATAATCAAATTTGATAGAAAAAAAAAACATACCGGCACCTGAAGTCTCTCCCAAGATGGCTCTGATAAGGACAAGGAAGAAATATCAATGCTCCAGTAATTCGTTAACTCTTCTATATACTTTAATAAAAGGGTAGTGGGGATGGTTTGGGGATCACTGTGATGTCAGGTAGTGCTTCTGCTGTGAAGTAGTGGTGTGGCTAATACTATATATATATATATATATATATATATAGGTGTTAAATATGTAAATATGTAAGAATTGAGTGGTATGTATATAAATATTCAATTTTTATATATATCTGATCTTGCAAAATAAGTAACTCGTGTGTCGCAAAATACATGTTACCGGCCTCACGCACAAAATTCTTTCCAAGAATTTTTTAATATTTTCGCCATGTCGATAACAAATGATAATTTGCTAGCCTTAATCGTGATCAGAACTAATTGGACTTGACTCACATGATGTCATGTTTGTAACTCACTGCCTTTGTCGCACTGATCAGGATCAGTTAAGTTTGAGCATATATGGATCGAAGACAACAAACTTCTATGATAAAATGATTGGGTCTACATCTCCTTGTAGCCAAGGTTTATAACCATCACAAGAGGAAAGGCAAAGACAAAACTGACAAAATAAAAGTAACCCACTGTTATCACCACAAACAAGCACAAACATCATTCAACAACACACATGGGACAATAATCAAAACAAAGACACAAAAGAAAAAAAAAAAAAAAAAAACACAAAAAAAAAAAATCCCCCTGCCACAAAATTCAAAATATAAAACAACTCAAAATTTAATCACAAACATCACACAAAGCACCAAGCTCACTTTCAGCACAAACACAACAAGCAACAACCACTAGAGATCCACAACAATCACACTTTTCTTAAGCATAAGCTGCTGGATTTGCAATGAGATGTTCTTCAACCGCCTTCGTCATCAAAGAGAAGCTTGCATTGATTTGTCCCTGCTCTTCCACACTGAGAGGAGTGTCATCCAAAGTTTCATAGTGCACCGTTGTCTTCTCCACGGTTTTGCCATTGCTCCCAGCCTCCAGCTTTAGTTCGAAGGAGTAAGACTTGAGTCTCGAGCCGATCAGCCCTCCTTCAACGACAGTCTGCTTTATTATGTGGTTCTCATCGTCCAGTGCGTCAGTTTTGTCCACAATGTAGCGAAATTCCTTCACAGCTGCAATGATTTGAGCAAATTGCTTATATTTAATCCGTATAGATTGACGCTAATTAATTAATTTTGGAAGGGCTTTGAGTTTTTCTTTTCGGCCATGGATTACACAATTTTTGGACTTCTTAATGCAGGGGAAAAAAGAAGTAGAGAAACTGAGCCTTTGAAGAGAGACAAAAATGAAAAAATAATATTATATATACAAAAATAATATTATATATACAAAAATAATATTTTAATTCATAATTATCTTTGTTCATTCACTAAATAGTGGGCAAGATATTTCAATAATTCAATCGAGATCAAATATTTCATTCACTCTATTTCTCTTACTAGTCTTAGCGGAATCGATCATGATCCTGCAAAATATGCATGATACCTTAAATTTCAAAAAATAAAAGCGGTATTTGGGAGCATAACTTAAGAAGGATTTAGTCCTCAATTTTGTTTAAATCTAATCCAACATCAAAAAAAATATTTTTCGTGTTTCGTTTGTTCTTCCCACGTTCCGTCTCTTCTAAGACGTAAATCCAAATTTAATAAATCCAATTGTGATATGCTTTCAAGACTTTTTCTTGTCGTCGCTCGTGAGCTCATCTCCATTGCACAGTCTATAGGATATTCTGATTTTTAGCATATTTTGAAAATATACTAACATGTTAGAAGAATAACAGAGATCCGAAAGATTTGTGGAAGCTTCATGGAGTCTATAGAGTGATTCAAACCTTCAGAAAACACGAACTTCTTAACTGTGCCGGCTCCACCATCACCTTCAAGAAGCTCAACCTTTGTAATGACATCGGGCAACAGCTTTGGCATCAGATTGTGAGCATCAAGAATGCCGGCCTTCCATAATCTATCAATGCTGACGTTCGAAACCCCCTCATGGGTGAAGGTACCTGCAACCATGATGCTCAAATAATATCTCTACAATAGAAGAATAGAAGATGGAGAAATTTTCAGGCTATGATTTGTGAATGATTGCCTATGCAATTTATAGATGTGGAGTTCATATAAAATATATATAAATGAAGATGGTGAGTAGGTAGGTTTATGGAAGAGGACGAAATTAGTTAAAGAAAGTCGAGGAAGTTGAAAATTGGAGCCACATGGAGACGATTATTAGTGGGCTAATGCGAAGAATTGGAGGAGAATAAGGGGAACTGCTCTGGTAGTGTTGTTTTTAAAATGATGGTTGGTTTGACTTTTAAATTTAAAAAAAAAGAGAAGGAAGGAAAAAAATGATTGAGAATATATTTTAAATTAGGAGTGAATGACATTTTGTAAAAAAAGTATTTAGAATTAATTTATCGCTTTCTGTCCTGTTGGATCTAAATTTGTTCGCAAACACATCACTCGTAAAAAAAGGTTCAGGCCCGAATGAGAGAGTGGGAAATGTGGAGAGTTAGAGATTATAGAGAGAAATGAGATCGGACTAGTATAATTGCATGCCCGCGTTGTCTCTTTTTTGTGTATGGCATGATCATATCCTTTATTTGTATAACCACTACTTATATATGAAGGGGCATTTGCATTAAATGTATAAATGAAAATGTTACAATTATGTATGATGATTTGGGATGTCAAGGCCTATCTTGCGACATATACAGAGTTGTAACGTTTCATGCGGTTTAATTGATTGCGCAATAGAACGAGTCAATGAGCAAGTAGGGTGCATACTACTCTATCATAACCAAACTAGTTATGGGTAATAAAGTAATTTTCGATGCAATATGTGCTTACAAAAAATTGCTTCAAGATTATTTCATATAGCACATAACATATCTTATGCGATTGATATGAAATCCAATATTATGAAAAATCTACTTAAAATACTTTATTTATTGATAAAGACAATAAAATAATATCATGCGTTGTCAATGATTGATATAAAAAAGTGTTAAATCCGGGCAAGGACATGCACATTACTAAGATGCTCACAACAAACGAACAAATATGAAAAAAAAAATCATGATAAAATACAAAAATATTTTGCAGTTTTAGTTCCATCATCTTTTGCTACCAAAGTCAATTAAAATATTTTTGGTCAATTGTTTCCCAACAAATCTGGATATTGCAATATTCACTCCCAACAAAACCAGATTGTTTTAAGAGAATATCAATTAATTTAAACTAAGTCCAATGAAAAAAATTGGGCCTTTACCTCAAACAAAAATAAATAAATTAGGTTAATAGCAATAGAGAACCAATTAGTTATTGACAAAAGGCTCCAAATTGGGATTTAGAAAACTATTCTTATAAAGCTCTCAAACATATTCAAGTTTCTTATTTGTTGATGTTAGCCCTCAATTGTTGAATTTAATAAACCAGCTCTAAATTGGGATTTAGAAAACTATTCCTATAAAGCTCTCAAACATATTCAAGTTTCTTATTTATTGATGTTAGCCCTCAATTGTTGAATTTAATAAACTAAATAAATAAATAAAAAATTCTCTCTTTCTCAGAGGCCATAACAATCAGTATCTTAATTATTCAATGCTCGTATTGTCGTGCAAAATAAGGTGGAAAACAAAATTACGCAACAAACAATCAAACATGGTGTGATATATGTGGTTCTGTGAAAATCTGCCTACGTCTACGGAGAGGGGCTATTCCACTACCAACAAGTGGAAAGAAAAAAAAAAGACAGTTGAAATAGTGTTATAACTCCACACACTAAATTGAGTCGTAATCCCTCAAATAAATTAGAGAGGATTAGGGAACATTAATAAAAACAAAAAAATGACGCATTTACACATTATACAAACAAAAATTCTAATACAACAATCTTTGTCTCATCTCTCACTTCCAGATAAGTGACAGATGATCAAAGAAGCTTCAATACCAAAATGACTGTACTAAGATGGTTACCTACGTTCCTCTTTCCCCGTCATGAAGAGATTAAGCCCCGCGTACTTTTTAAAAATACACGAATGGGCAATCAATCATGAGCTCAAATGTTCATTAAACTCTTATGGTATGCAAATTTCTAAACTGGTAGTACATTTATAAGCATGTGTGTTGGATTCCCTTTCGTATTTATCTTCTTTAGCAGAACATTATAGTCATCAAGCAAGTCTTGAACAAAGTGGTTATCTCATATTAATGTGTTTAGTACCGTCATGATAAACTGAATTTGTGACCAAGAATGTCACATTATAACTATCACATAACAGTATTATCAACTCCAGATCAACTCCCAAGTCATCTAATAAGCTCTACATCCACGCCACTTCCTTCATCATCTTCATAATTTTCATGTACTCAACCTCTGTAGTAAACAAAGCAACAATAGACTGAAAAAGTGATCTTCAATTGATTGGACCTCCTGTCAACGTAAATAAATATTTAATTGTAGGCCAACGTCTATCCATTTCACATACTTAGTCTGCATTTATGTTGTCTACATACAAAGAAATAATAGATGGTTTCCTCTCAAACACTAAACCTACATCAACTGTATCGTTCGAATACCTCATAAACTTGAAAACCATGATAGTAATTAGTTGGGTGGGCAGTAAATGGTTACTTTAGGAGTGTCGGTTGGCCATAAAGGTCATAGTTGGGAGCTACAAAAGTTTTGAGCCATGTGGTTGTAGTTGGTCACATGTGTTGTATGGTAAGCTATGACGACGTTTGTAGAGCGTTGAGGCCGCAGTTGGGAGTTACACGACCTATAAGTCATATAGGCCATGGTGGTGGGTTGTGATGACTTTCACTTGCTACAAAGACTAGAGATGGGAGCTAAGAGGTTGAATCAGGAGCAATATGAGCTATGAGCCACATGGATAATATTTAGTCACAATGGTCATAATGGTGAGCTATGATAATGTTCTAAGTTTATAAAAGCAGGAGTCAAGGAGTTGTTAGCCACATAGGTTACAATTGGTTACATGAGCCGTAGTGGTGAGTTATGATGACATCCATAGGCAGTCGAAGCCATGGGCGAGAGCCATACGAGCTTTGATAATGTTAATAAGCTACACGGGTTAATGTAAGGAACTACATGACTTGTAAGTCATGTAGATTGTAGCTGGTCAAATAGGTCATGATGGTGAGCTATGATAATGTCCATAGGTCGTTGGGGCCGGAGTCAGAATTTACATGAGCTTTGAGCCAAGTAGGCTATAATGGTGAGTTGTGATGATATATGTAAGTCGCATGGTGATCCCGAGAAAATATACTTGTGTAAAATTTCTAAAGTTGACTCCACTTTACAACGATGCCAAAAACTTGATGTGGTATTTTATGAATAATAACGTTAAGCACTTAATGTTGGGGTTCTACGTAAGCATAGGTATCGTTATTAAGTAATATAAGACTTTCTATTTAAGTCTCAAATATTGATCGCACGATAAATGATTAAATTTGAAATGAAAAATTAACTAAGAAATTCACATAAATAAAACGAAATTACTGTCACTAATTTTGAATGTTTGAGATACTATCAAAACTAAATTATTAATTACTAGCAAAATTTTAATGCAAAGTTTAAAATAGTAACTACTAAACTATGTTTATGTGATGAAGTTTTCTAATATGAAAAAACATCTTTCCAACTACAATGAGTTTTTGGTGAAATGAGATGAGATAAATTATTTAAATTTTTTTGTGCCAAATAGGAGCAATTTTAATTCTCTACATTGATTCAGTGTTACGCTTTAGTTCTTAAACACAAAGATCGAATTGGGGATTTTAGTCTGTCACCCTAAAAATCTCCAATTCTACACCCAACAATGTATATTTCTCTATTTATTTGCACTTAATTTCATGAATGAAATACTCCTTCATGGACTTAGATGTGATTCTCACTCTGTTGTAGAACTCATACTCCATTTCCTGGATCATATGTTTCAGAACAACAGATTTTAACAATTCAATTGGTCAGATCAAAAAGTAAATTAAGTACGGAGTTAAAAAACTATCACAATTTATTTTATATTTTAAAATATAATGCCCCTGGATGAATATACAGAACTATGATCTTAGCCATGATGGAGAAATGGGTGGTTTTAAGAACTAGAACAACAAAACACAAATTTCACTTATAAAAGAAAGTTCATACAACAATAATAAAAGAAACAACACTTATCTGAAACTCTTTCTCAAAGTAAATCCCTTGTAGTCTCTCTTAGGAAATGTAGGAAGGAGAAATCTCGAGAAATCTCTCACTTCAAATCTCTCACTTCTCTCCCTCTCCAACACTCTTAAAAAATAATTCACACTTAAATTCATCACAAAAACTCTAAACTATACAGAAAATAAATCACTAATAGTGTGGAATGGCGTGGAAGTATGCAAAGTGGCACGAAGGGGGGCGAAGAAAGACCAAGAGTGAGCGGAGGAGTGCGAAGAAAGTCTTTTCTAATCAATTTCGGCTCTAAATAGAGCCTAAAGTCGGTTTTCCAATAGGTGCTTCCAAAAACTCTTAAAAAAGCGTCCAAATTTGTCGAATCTTCTAAAAACAGGGTCTACACCGACACTGGCGTCGTCGGTGCCCAATCTGACTCCATCAGTGCTGAACAATTTTTTCAAAAACTCCATTTTGACTACAAATTTCATCATTTTTGCTCTAAATCTTAAAAATCAACAACCTGCAATAAAACATGAAAAATATCTTTCTTTAAAGTGCAATATCACAAAAAATGAGTATAAAATATGGTATTAAAATGCATATATTTTTGGTGTATCAAAATCCCCCAAACTTCAATGTTACTTGTCATCAAGTAACTCTTTTACTACATAAAAATATGACTATTGACAAAGATTTTAATTTCTAGTTTTCTATATTTTAGTCCACTAAATATAATAGCATAACTTAAGAAAATTGTAAAATAACTCCAGTTAATACTAAATGTATAAGAATATCTAGCAGTCAAGTCTAAGATTTCTAATTCTT